TTGTATGCGATAAGCTTAAGACAGCTTATTATATGCTTCTACTAATAGATATACTAATTGAGTGTATAACTCTATTTTTCAAGTTATTTTATGGCTTAACTAGGCAAAACTCATCAAAAATTTAATAAGTGATCTCTTTTTATTTAGAATATTGCATTGTCGTAATAATACTCAAGAAATAAAATAAGCGAGCTCTTATTCGTTTAAGAGAATGTCGCTATTGTTGTTATTTTTGCTTCAAAAGAAAATTTAGGCTTGGCAGATTGATAATATTTTTAGGAACACAGGTCAAACTAAAAGATCAGTACAAGGCGTTGAATATTATCTTAGTCTATTCCAGAGTTCAGACTACCACTTTATTGAGACACCTATTGTTGAATGTCAAGCATGCGTCAGCAATGACTTCGAAGCAAGCATGGATTACTTTAAACAATTTATTTTGAAACTAGATTATTTATATAAAGGAAAAGCCATCGTGTGATCATCATACGAATAGTAATATTACTCTCAATAATTTCCTATTAATGATGGAAAATTTCACGTTTGAGTTACGTCAGGGGACTGATCGCAAAAATAACTACTTTATTTATATGTCGGACTTCATCCGTTTACCTACGAATAGTGTCTAAGTGTGTAACTTTCCTGTAATGAGATTCTTTACATCTTAAATATGAGTCTTGACAAAGATTATTTACCTTTAAGTAAAGTTTCACTGAATTTACCTAGTTATAATTCTCAAGAATATTCTTCGCAGACCCTCGTTATAATCTCGTCCACATGACCTTATTTGCTCTATGGCATTAACTGGTTTCTTCTGGACCTAAATATAATTTGCACTTCATCTTTACTTTGAGTTTCTTAATGGCGCCTGACAATGGCGAACTTTCTGCATAGCTAGCATATACAGTACCCATTTCTGTTCTTCTATTTCCGCTAAACTCTGCTTTCGCGTCTCCCTCTATGCATACTAACTGTATTTGTATAACTACCTTATTCCTATGGCTACATTTTATATTTACGCGTCCTGTATATTACATTCTCTAGTTTTATTTAATATGACTTTGTCTCAGGTCATGTCCTTTTTATCCTCTATAAGGTAGAATATAAGAGTCGTTACAAGAAAGTGACATTACTTCTAAAATTGCATGGAATTTGTTGGATAGCTATGACAAATCCATAAAATATTGCTTAATTTATGTCAAAGCCACAGCTTTAATGATGGGTTAAATATCATACTGAGTGATGGCTTATGTAGATTATCAATGGCATAAGGTATGAGGTATTGGTTAGCGGTTTTGCATTTTCTGCACGATTCCTACAAAAGACTTATTTAGCATTCTATTTATCTGAGAATTATCTCATATTACTTTTAATGCTAATATTTGAATGTGAGTACTTTACACGATTTTTAGTACTTCTTGAATATGGATATAGTCACTTCAGGTTGCTTAATGTGAGTAAAGGACTGATATTAAGGTTTCCTAAAACGCTAAGAGTAGGTCTCATTATGTTATGGAATCTCACTTAAAGTTTACTCCAAAAATTGCTTTCATCAAAAGCAGTCGACAGGTAAAAACCCACATAGGTCTCATTACTACCCTCAAATGAATTTGATACCTGTTCTTGAGCGTCATGGTCAAACTCGGTTAGTACATCGCATATTATTTTCGACTTATAGCCGTTGGTGTACATACTGCCATGGGTATAATTGGGTAGCAGGACAGACATGAATTTAAGTTCTAGGCAAGCATTTCCGATTTAAGACGTGAAAACTATCAGTAGAACCAGTGTGAATATAGTTGTCATTCAAGATATTTTGGTAATTTCGAAACCGAAGCCATATTAATAAAAGTATTATTTGAGACTTTAAAACAAACTTGGTCCTATTGCAATATGTGCCATGAGAATGGCTTGGCAAACCAAATTTTGATGTCCATCCTGAGACTCAAATACACTCGCAAAAGTGTGGCGTAATAGAAAAAGGTCGAAAATGAAAGAGGTTACACAAGTGGTAAATGTGAATATGTCTTACTAAATCCGGTAAAAAAGGCACAGTCTAACTAGGTTTTGAAATTGTGATAGTTAAGAGGAGTTATGAGAATATAGCATAGGTGAATAAAATGAGACAGGAAAGATACCGAATCTATTTAGCCGACAATAGATAAAAGGATCTACTTTACTTGTCCATTTGACGAGTTGTGGTATGGTGCTGAGTGTTTTAATAGCTACTACTCCAATGCAGACTACGATGCCAGCGAAGCTTCTGGAAATGTAACGAGTCCACAGACAGACTCTAGAAATTATCATGCACATAATGGACTACGTACAAAATGCGTTTCCCTAGGTCTTCCTGCCAATATGACCAAGTTGCAGTATAAGTTTATGCAAATTCTATACTATAAAAGAAGATCACGATGATACCATAGGCCACACTATCTTGGTCTATAAACATTCAATATATCGATGATCGGTAAGTTAAGAGTTTTATGTAAAAATATTTAGTTTTTGAGATCCATGCGCATATAAGGAGTTAAACTCGAATTTTTTATATATATGGTAATTATCACAAATATTTATTTTTCTCAAGAACAGAACCAACAAGAAACTAATATTTATCCAAGAGTGTGGAGAAAAACCGTCAACAAAAAATTAATAATTGCAGTTAAAAAATATCTTAAATTAGGTTTTATATTTAAATGCAATTAATTTATTATCTATTATCTATTATTCACATCCTTAATCGTTTTATCAATCGATCTGTTTGGCTCCTTTTTGTTCTGTCTTCCCCTTTCCCCTCGGATAAATGGTATTTGCAACTCTCTTGTTAAGTATAACCCATTTTTATTGTAGGACAGAGAAGAACTTCTTAGTGGAGGCCTCTTTAATGACACTGTCCCAATAGGTGGACCTCACCGAACTTCGATCACTCCAAGGATAAACGTGGGAAAAAATGAGATGGAGCACGATCCGCCTATTCAGGTCGTTTTGTCTGATGCAACAAGTGTTGAAGATACGGTTTTTTTTAATGTCAATACAAAGGTAGTTGCAAATGCGTGACATATTTTTTTTACAGACATGCCTACCTCAATTTCGTAGCAAGGAATTTTCGGTGCAGAGGACTCATGAAGAATTTGTCTGGCTTCACAATCAGCTCGAAGATAATATATCGTATGCTGGTGTTATCGTAAGCTTTTTGTATTTAATATAATTTTCTTTCGACTTATCTACCTTGTCTTGTCTTTGTTTGACTTGATAATACATAAGTTGAATGAGTTTTATTCTTTGGATTAGTTGCCTCCTTGTCCTCCGAGACCAGATTTTGATGCCTCTCGAGCCAAATTGCAACGGCTGGCCGAAGGAGATGGAAATATGACAAAGGAAGATTTGCAAAAGATGAAAGCGGAACTTGAAGCGTAGGTTTATACATATTTGGCTCGTTATATTACAGTTTTATTGTTCCTGCTAGGTTTTCTAATAGCTATCGATTGCGTTAACTATGCCTAAGAACGACCAGATATAATAATAATATTTTGCTACTTGTATTTCTTTAGAGAATATCTTGCGACCTTCAAGAAAACCGTTGCAATGCATGAGGTGTTTCTTCAGCGAATAGCCTCTCATCCTATTCTGCACAACGATTATGGGTTTCATGTCTTTCTTGAGTATAAAGAGGATCTTGGAGTTCGGAATAAAAACAAAAAAGAACAAGTATTGATTATGTTTATTTCCGTGCATTCTATAAAATTCACAATAATATATTATTTTTAGTTTAATGATATTAGCAAGAGTAAGGCTGATGTTTTTTTTCGTAATTTCCCCCTGTTTAAATGATGAATTAATCGCTCTAGAATGTCTACTTATTGAGTTACGTAATCAAAATTAATTTGCTGAGTTTTAACCAAAATATATACTATATGAATCTTATGACCAACAATTATTTTGAATTCATTTCTTTCTTGAAACAAAAACCTTGCTCCACCTGTATTCAATGCTTCTCTGGAAAACTGTGCTATCAGCTAGTTCTGCGATAGATGATCTTTCCTATTCGTTTATAAAATTATTCTAGATTATTTATCAAAATAAAAGTTTATTCACCTA